GAGAAATACCGGCTGTTTCTCGGTAACTCCATTTTGACGCTTTGTGTTTTGTGCTTCCACTGCCTTAATTCCCATCGTTCCGAGCTTGAATCGCTTCTTGCACAAAATACTCTGTGCCTCATATATGTTTCCTGGTTTTAGCCATGGAGAAAACTCTTGGCTGGATAGCCATTTTTCATTATATTTACACTTGCTCATATTTTCCAGATAAAAAGCAAATAGCGCATCTCCCAAATGTCCCGGCCGCAACAACGTTTTATTGGTTCCGCTATCGGGACGGAACCAATAATGGCGAGCTTTTATTTTTTTCCAAAAAAAAAAAAAAGATTACAAAAATAAATCGTAATAAAAATAATCCTATTTATGATGTTTTAAAAATTAAAACCAAAAAAGACTGATTTAAGACATTTTAATACCAATTAAGGCCTTAGTTTTATTTTGAAGAATTTAATGCCTTTTAAGACTTTTTAAGGAGCCGCGGGAACCCTGATTCACAGAGGACCAATGAAATTGTGCGATACATAATTCTCACTTTCAAAGTTATTTACAATCTTGTAAATCAGTCATTTATACTCACCCTCAACACGGATACTCGAAGAAAAGCATACGATGCCGCTTTTAAGTTAAAGGCAATCCATCTAGCGATTGAAAACGGAAATCGGCCGCATGCAGGGGCATCTTTCACTGATGTCTGCCAGTGGGTTCTCAATGAAAACATCCAGCATCGACGGCGGGCTTCGGAAGGCTCGGCTGCTGCGGGATGAGGAGGACCGCGAGTGCTCAAGTGAGAGCGAAAAGGATGAGACTGAAGTCAGTGACAGCATCCTGAAGCTGTTCCATTCAGACACCGAGGAAGAGGACTTTCAGGGTTTTAGTGCGCAGGAGGAAGAAGAAAGTGATTACTGACTTTTCCTGGTCGGCTGCAATGTTCTGTGCGTTGTTCAATTAAAAGTACGGGTATATGCAGCGTTATTTGCGTGTTACTGACACATACGTATATTTAAATGTGTTACAGGTAGTTTGAAAAAAAAAAAAGTATTCATAATATGTACCGTATTTGTTTTTTTTATCATACGGTTTAAATCAAACGTTAAAAAAATGCTCAGGTGTAATATCTTTATTTGTAAATATCTCATACAACGTGGGAAACCTACGACTTAAAATCCGGTGCAGCTTATAAAAGTACAAAATTGATTTTCTTTCTAAAATTAAGAGCGTGCGGCTTGGAATCAGGTGCGCTCTATAGTCCAGATTCGGAATTTACGGTAGTTCATTTATAGGTTTGGGAAATTAATTCATTTTTTGAAAAAGTGAACTATAAAGGTGAGCTGGTTCATTTTCATCTGTGTGAACTAAACTTTGAGCTCGTTCCTTTTAATAATGAACTGACAACATTAGATAACGTAACAGGTTTCAGCTAATGGATGGTGGGTTCTGATGCTTTTCAAGAGGAAAGTGTCCCTTTCTCCTGTTACATAATAATATGATTGGACTGAAGCAACAGAAGCGACAATTAGAAAATTAAGTAAAAAAAAATCTAAATCCAAAATATAACGTCTGTGTATAAAAAGAGAAAGAACAGGATTATTTCTGTAATCTATGACGCCTCCTTCTTGTCAGCATGTCCGGTCAGATAATCCTCCATCATACTAACCTTGGTGTACTTGTTAAAACTTTGCAGAATCTCCCAGCCCCAGTCCTGGTATTTGTGATCTTTTGTGAATCTGTACAGATAGAAGAGACTCTCCACAGTCTCGGGTCGAAGGAGGTTGTGTCTATCTGCAGGCTTTAATAAAGAAACACAAACATGGAAGTCAGAAAAAAGAAACCTGGATTTTCTCATCTCTCAACATTTCCTCATGGTCCATATGAGGTTTACTTTACAACATAACTAAGTAATGTTGGCTCCCAGCATCCATGATTTATCACTAAAGAGCATAAAGAGGTAAATACCAATTTAAGAGAAGAAGGTATCAAGAAGCTGAGCTAGAAATGTTGATCTACAGAGTGAATAAAGTGTTTTCATCTTGGATGAAGAACCACCCAAGAGTTCATTAAGTGAAACTGGAAAATGTAACAGTTTACAGGAAACAAAATCCAAGGATCCAGTTTATCAGAATATTACTTCAGATTTTTAGGACCTTAAACAACCAGAGGGGAGATTGCTGGCTGACACAGACGGTCACTGAACACGGCCTCCACATTAGGACATCGTTAATGAAGCTGGAAATTCACAGTGGAAAGTTGAGTGGAAGGAAAAATTCCCCAGCAGCAGATAATGTGACTTTACTATGCAGAGGTACAGAAAGAATAGACTGCTGGTGAAATCAGAGCTTCAGAAACCACCACTGATCCACTTCTCTCAGGACTTTTTCTATCATTTTTCTACAAGCAGCGTTGGGACATAATGCGCCAAATTACCTTCACTTCAATGTCTCTGGTGCTGCCCTGGTGCATATTGAAGTGAACGATCTCAGGACTCAGGCCAGTCTCCATTTGGACGTACATCTGGTAGCAGGTCTGCATCAGCTCCTTGGCCAGATCCATGTGATCGGCAGGCAGACCGTTATGAGCACCGAGCGCCAAAGTGCCGGGCAGGAAACACACGAGATGATCCTAAACAGGAAGAGGTCACAGACGGTTCCAGTTAGCGAGCACCGAGCAAAGAAAAGCACCAAGAATGCTCAACACAACCTCAATCTGGAGAGGAAATCAATCATCTTCCCAGTGTTGCCAACTGAGCGCTTTTCTCACCAAATCTAGCGCCTTTTCAGATCCCCCTTTATTTCAAAAAAGCACCTAGCGCCAAATCTAGCTCCTTTTTTCTCTGTATTAATGGAGACTGGCAATATAAATAGGAGGCAGATCTTT